GACCTTCCATTTTTCCGCCGCCAAGGCCACGTAATTTTTCCCCTTCTCCCTTTTCCTCCGGTTTCCGTTTTCCACGAATCGGCTAGTCCGTCGGAGGACTCGCGATTTCTTCCAAGCCTTTCGACCGATCGCGTACGATTCCGCGCGGCGTTTCCGTTCGATCCGCGAGCGCGTCGTGACGAAGAAGCGTATCTTTGTTTCCGCGTGATCCGCGGCGGTAACGGCGTGTCGGCCGTTTGGTTATTTCCATGAATCGGGCAGCGAATTCTCCATCTTCGGTACAGAGGGTACTAGTTTCCTCCGGGGAAACCACTGATTTGTGGCCGCTGCAAATCGATGTTGCCTTAATACTCGGAGCTATAAAGCGCCAGGGAACGGAGCTACCGGGAGAGGATAATAGGAACCTCCGGTGGTTTTCAAAAACGAGCTTCTCGCGCCGCGTGTACACCGGCAATTTAATAACGGTACCGAGGCCGTGTTAAAGTGTAACGGTTTATGAAATCTATACCGGCCGAAATTAAGATTTTCGGCGCGACGTGCCCGGGCGCACTCTAATTTCGGCCCGAGCGTCGTTAACGCTCCACTTGCTAAAACCCTCATTTTCCCGCAATTAGCAATTTATTCCACGAGTACTATACTTTGCGAGGAGCCGCGTCGATCTCGCGATCGACGAGGAATGCGTCCGGGGGGGACGAGATCCGGCGAAATGGTTCGCGCCTGTCGCCGACGTTACGGTTAACGGAGTAAAACCGGATGGCCGGGAATTACATCGATTCCAAGGAAACGAGAGGATGCGCGATCGAGGCTGCTCGATATCCACGGGATACTACCGACCGAAAGTGTTACAACCGTTCGCTACTCAGCCATTCATTAGGTTCACCTCGTGTCCGTCGTTATACGTGACTTAGCGTACGGCATAATTGGACTCGCGTTAGAGTCACGGAGATTTCGCGACACTGGTTTCCCGGCTTCTCGGAAGATCGCTCGTACAGTGTCAACCAGTTTTTATTGACCTCGGTATTTCGACCCGTGTCGCGAGATTACGCTCGTTCGAGCTGTTCGTTCGCGCGCGTTAAAAATAACGGACGAGCGAGTGGAACAGGTAACTCCGTGGAAACGTTCCCTTATCGAACGTCCCGTGTATCCGTGTCTTTTTTCTCCCTCGCGCGGAGTGTAACGCGACGAGAAAATAATACCGCGCCGTGCTCGTCGCGTTGCACCATTTCCGCTTTGCTTCAGACGCCAGACGCGATGAGTATCGTCGTTTCGACGTCGCGGGAACGCCACCGTGGTGGATGCCTTTGACGAGAGCTCAAACGAGTTTCATAAGTATCCCGTTAGGGAGACGCGTAATCGTCTTTGAAATATACGCGATATCGACGCTGTTATCGCGAAATATTAGCTACAATTGGATACTTTGTCAGCACGTTGGCTCTCGGGCGAGGATTAATGACGTGGCCGGTCAAAAATACGACAGGCCGTGTTACGCGTGCGTGCGAAACAAGTAGAATACGAAACCGTAAGCGCACGATAACCAGAAATACTTATTGCATGGACCGTTCCATGCCTTCCTGAACCCGATAGAATCGTCTAGCCGTGCGCGCGCGCTCTCTCTCGAGAGAGCAGAGAGTTCAATAATCTGCCGCGGCAGATCTTCTTGTCCGGCATTGAAGTCTCCAGCGGCGCTGCAGCATCTGCTGCCGCGATCGTGCCTCTGTCGTCGTTATTTCGCCAACAACATCGTGATCGTTTAAAATTCTTCTTTAAATCAATTATCTCCACCGAGTCGCCTCGGTAATCGATCGCACGACGTTTCGGTTCTATTGCTACGTTATTAAAAAAAAAAAAAAAAAAAAAAAAAAAAAAAAAAGAAAAAAGGAAAAACATTAACCGAGACGTCTCGCTACATTTTTCACGAACGTCACGCGGCTCGAACGTGCCCGACACGTCGAAGCATAGCGGTGCGATCGTTTTTAATACGTTCCAGCGTGGTTACAAAGAGAGATTCTCCCCAGTCGAAAACACAACGAGGTAGTAAACGTCAGTCGTGGCGTACTTTAGCCCGCCAGTAGAGAATACGCCTCCCACCGTAACCCGTGGAAACAGATTTATGATAATCAAGGAGCCACTGGTCTTCATGCCTCGCTGACAGCTTTTTTCTCCCTGCGTGCACACTTCTCTCTCTCTCTCTCTCTCGTTCTCTCGCCCTCTCCTCTCTCACCTGGCCGCGTCGCCGCTTTTTTACGCCCAGTTCCATAAAGCGAATTTCGATTTTCCAATAAGCCGTCGAGATTTACAGCCTCCGTGGTCTCGCGCGCGCGCTCGCGCCCTCTCGCGCTCCGAGACCAACACGCTTCTCTTTCCTGCTGTATTTTTTCCCTCATTTTTCTCTCTTTCTCCATACCTTCCCGTTTTCTTTTTGCTCGCTATATACGTGTTACTTCCTTTTCGATTTTTTTTCCCGCGCGGGACGTGTTTTTTACTGCCCTTCGTACGTCCCACGAAGAAGACAGTCTGACAACGTCCTTCTCCTTCGCGAAATGGATTCTCACACGTACGCGCACGCACACGGCGCAACGGCCACCTCGTCCCGGCTGTAAGTAATGCATGCGCGACTTCAAACCGATCGTCAAAGTCAGCCGGACGTCGGGGCCTTATACGAGAGAGGAGAATAGGGTGCCCGGATTTCGTTGTGCGCGCCGTGCACACGCACACGCGAGGCAACCTCGATCATACTCGCGCGCTGTCCCGAGCGCATCGTGCGCGATAAAAAGTTATGCAACTTTTCCCAAATATCCGGGGCGATACCTTCGGGACGCTCCTTAAAATTTCGCTCTTCGCTCGCGATCGCGATTTAACGAGATACTTTACGGCGCGATTTCGACCGGCAGCCTTTTTCCATCGCTCGATCGAGCGTCCGCTAATTTTTCTCCAACTTGGACTACTCTGGAGACCTTGAGTCGGCTGGTCGGGGCAAAAATTTCGAGTTTTACGAGCGTTCTTTCTCGGATCGAATTAGCTGGCGGGATGTGCACCGGCGACGATGGCGATCGAGAAAACGATCGGGCAAGAAACCCCGGACGATCGAGAAAATTACGAGGCTGGCAAGTTTTTCACCGTCGTTCACAGAGTGGCAAACCGGGCGAAGCGGTGAAGGGAAACGCAGTGATAGAGAGAAAGAGAGAAAGAGAGAGAAAGGAAAAAATAAGGGGAAAAAGGAAGAGGGAAAGAAACCATAACTCGTCGATTATAACGTTGACGCGAGTCGCGAGCCTGTTCTCGTATCGCGTGGATTTACGCGTTCGTCTCGGCGGAGGATACTAAAAAGTAGCGCGAACTACGCAAATTGCCGCGCAAACTCGCAAAAGAAATTGCTCGACTAACAAGCCGCTTATAAGGACACCGCTTCCTCGGTGTAACGAGAAAAAAACGACAGCGTTACGAGCCTCTTACGTGCTCGATTCGTCGATGCTGTGTACACCGTGTGACACGGTAGCCAGCACGAATTTCCACGCGGGATCTAGTCGAGATTGACACGCGAATTTCGGCAGGTTCTCACACACGGCGAACGTGACCTTTTTTGTCGTGGTTTCGCACGTGAATCGACCGAGGCCTCGGAACGGCAGAAAAATACCGTGACAAATTAGATTAACCACGTAATGTGGATTTAATTGGCGGTGTGGTGAATCGGGTCTGCCGCTTCGGTTTGACGAGCGCCACACTGATTTCGCTCGTCGCCCGAGCAGGAAGCGAGCAAGAGAACGCGCTTATAGATTTTTTTTCCAAGATAAAGTAACGAGCCTCGTTACGCCGTCAGATTTGCGCGTTTCGCGTGAAACCACGGTGATGCGCGATACGTAACGCGTCATGCGGAATTTTCATGAGCGTTATACGCTTTGCGTTAACGCCCTCTTTCGTTCTTTCTTCTCCTTTCTCCCCCTCTTATTGGCGCCCTTTCTATCCACCCTTTGTCTTACGCTCGTGTCCTAGTTAACCCATCGCGGTCGATCGTTTCTCGCGAATTCGGGAAACGACACTTGGACGGAGATTTAGGCGCGCCCGTCGCGATTTTTCTCCCAGCGAAACGGAACCGCGCGGTAAAGAATGGCGCAGGTGAAACGAAAAAAGGGAAAGAATGCACCTTCGGTAGAGATATTCGTCGAGACAAATATTCGAATAAAAATTCCCACACATGGCGGCGCAGCGAGTTAAGCGAACGCGTTAACCTATTGCCCTATAATATACAGTCACACTCGCACCGCAAATTATGGTCTAAACGCGGCTTAATATATCTCGACATTTTTCACCTGTCACGGTGTTCGAGCAGTTATACAGCCAACTCCGGCGCACGCAACCATTAAAAGAAACCGTATGGCAACGGTTGGAAGTACGCGGAGAATATGGGTGTCTCGAGCGAAGAACGGAAGAAGGAAGCTGACACTCGTGGACGAAATTTTACAAGCAGTTAGGCGAACCTTAAGCATCCCCCCATCGGACAGGAAATTGATCGGTCGCGAGGCAGGACGAGAGCAATTTCCCTTGCTCCCTGGAAATCGCCGTTTCTTTGCTTTTATCGCCGACGATTTGGACCACGTCGACGCGCTACGTCGAGACGATCCCCGCGGCGCGGTCCATTTCGCGAGCGCATTAAAGCGCGCGCGACGTCGCGATGCACCCCTGTAATTTTGGCAGACGCGATACCGCGGCATCGACGCGATAAAAGCTCCGCCGGAAGCGGAGGGTCGTTACTCAAAAGCCACGACGCCGCGAGAAATCGATTTCCCGGCGAGCACCACCGGTGCTTCGAGACGCTTTGGCACGCGTGCCAGAGCGTGTACGCGTATTTCCGCCAAACTTGGTCGGAACCGATCTCGCTCCATCTCCGCTCCCCATTTACCTATCCTCCAACCACCGTCTGCTCGTGTGTCTCGCGGAAATATGGTCACACGTGGCGCGCACGATTTTCCTCGCGCGAGACGAAAATCTCGGGGGACACTTACATGGAATTGGTGGTGTTCCAATACATGCTGATCGTCTTGGCGCAGTTGCTCACAGTGGAGAGTAGAACCGTTTGCAGGCAGACGAAGAACACCAAAGTTACAAAGGACGTGGAAACCATGGTAACAACGTGGACGAACGAGCAGCGCGCACCGCGTCACCACTGCTCACCGAGATACAACGATCAACGAACAAACGACGACAACAACCAGAACAACAACAACTACGACGATGACGACACCTGCACCTTTCTTGCCGTCGTCCACAACCACCTTCCACCACCGTTGCACCCACACCGCATCCACACTTCACTGAACCTCGCTAGATCGGTTCTCTTTTCTTTCTCCCCTTTCTCTTCTCCCTCTCTCGCTCTCTTCCTCTGTCCCAGCTCGAACAACGAAACAACGGGACTCGCGTATCCTCGTTGGGCCCGCGATTATCCGCGAAGCATTCCCCGCGAGTGTCCGTCGAACTTGCGACGAACCGTATTCCGTCCAAGCCGTACTCCGTACGCTCCTCTCGTCTCGCGGTGTCTCGGATCGGGTAGCGTCTAACGGATCGAGAATCGTGCAACGTCGACACGACGAATGGCGAAATCCTCGGCGATCGGCGACCAGTCGTTAGAACCGTTGATATTCCTCCGGTGTTCGGCTGCTTCCAACGGTGTCCACCGAGGTACGCGTTCCATGGGTCCACCCCGTGTTACTCTCACCTGGAGCGCACCTTGCTAGCCCTCTCATTGGTCTAAGTTTGCCGGAACCCGGTGCACGCGACCACGAACCGCCGGTGAAAGATTCCTTCCGATGGCTGGGACGAACAGGTGACGCATCGGAGGGACGATCTTTCGAAAAATCCGTCGATCGATCCGACGAGAGTGGTTCGTCGTTCACGGATCGAAGGGTATCCGACGCTCGGCGACGGGATCACGCGAATCACCGCAGTACCGTGGACCTGCTCAGCATCTCACCGCACCGATCCCTTTTCCACGGATCGACGGGAACAGCGATGTCGGGATGGAACCGAGATCGTTTCACAGAGGAAAAAGAAAAGAAACGATCGCAGGTTTCTCTCACCACTGATCGAATCGGAAACTTTCGAGACTCTCGAGACACTGTTTAGCAATAACGACGATAAAAGCACCAGTCTCCTTCGCGATGATCCTGATGGCTATCAGGAGCGAGGAACAAGAAACCCTGACGTCGTCGACGACGACGACGACGACGATTGTTTCGGATATCACTGCGTAATCTCACGGGACCGGGACAAGAATCCCAGCGTAAACGGAGCGGTACCCTTCTCGCCCGGAGCACACCCCCGTATACTTTCTCACGCACTTGCGATTCGCACGGATCGCGTATAGCCAGCCGAACGGAGCATCTCTTTCACTGTCCACCACGCGAACGGATCTCCACGACGAAGATCGGATCGGAGCGATGTATCGGTCTGCCCGTATTATCCAGCGGGTCGATAAAACACTGAGAAAACTGCCTCTTGGTTTAACTCTCGGCCCGGTATGACCGTGTGTAGGCGCGCGTTACCCGGTCGTAGAGCGTCGAGAAGAATAGTTAAGAGTCACGAGCTGCGTCGAGACGAGTCCCGTGAACGCAGAGAGAACGGTACCTTCCTGCTCGGTGTCGCGGACGCGTCTGTCGGCCGAGCGGACTGTCGCGGCCGTTCGTCTCGCGTCGGCAGACTCGAACGGCGACCGGGGGTGTCGGGGAGGGCCGAGCTGCGGCGGAAACGCACGAAGCCCGAGGACCCTCGTTCCCTCCGTGGCTGGCCGACGACGTGTCTTGCCTTGGTCCGCGACTACGCGGTATTACGCCGCCTGCTCGCGAGACGCGAGTTTCCGAGTGGCTCTCCCTGGTCTCGCGCGTTCCCGTCGCTTTGCTTCGTTTCGAAGCTCGGTTCGAAGCTCGAGAGTGCGCCGGATACGACAAGTGTCGTCGGTACGGTGCGGTGGCGTAGCGTGGCGCGACTCGACGCGACTCGACGCGACTCGACGCGACGCGACGCGACTTGACGCGACTTGACGCGAGATCCTCGTTTCTCGCACACGGTGGAATCGTCGCGCCGTCACCCGGTCTTCCACGCGGTGAATTCCCTTTTGTCCGTCACGGGCAGGGAAGAGGAGTTGGTCGTCGGAGGTTGCTCCATGGAGCAACCGAACGCAGCCGTTTCGATTCATATTCGGATCAACGCGTTGTTCGCACGGATGGGATAGGAAAGAGAGAGAGAGAGAGAGAGAGAGTTAGAGAGAGAGAGAGAGAGAGAGAGAGTTAGAGAGAGAGAGAGAGAGAGAGAGAGTTAGAGGATGAGAGAGAGGGTGCATGGAGAGGGTGCGGATTTTTTGGACGACGGATCTGATCGCGAAGTATGGAGGAGGTGGCGACGGTGGAAAGAGTTGGCGCGGACGGACGCGGAACGTGAGAGTATTCGATGGCGGACGGCACGAGGAGGAGAGGCGTGAATTTCGGTCGAATTTCATCGCGGCGAAATCACGAGGTGCGGGGAATTGGATTTTTTTAAAAGCAATTTTCGCGGGGGAATTACGTTTCGTCCGGCGCGCGGGGGAACTTTATTCATCGCGTGCCATGTTTGGCCTGCGGGCCCGAGTTTTCGGAGTCGATTGAACACCATTAAACGAATTCGCATAATTACGCCGCAGTTGATAAGATACGTAATTTCCTGCTTAAATCCTTGGTTATCGTTCAACGCACTCTCGTTTAATATCGCCCTGTACACGGATACGCGGTGTCTCGGCCGGGTGCAAAAAACTTTTACTCTATTCGCGATACTTACACCGCTACGATTACCCTAAATTTTTATCGCGTCCGTAATGGTATCTCGAGCTTCGTTATACACTTTTCGGCGCGATAAACGCTTCGGGATTGCACCGCCGATACCAAGTTTCGTTAAATGGACCGATAATTCTCGACCATACCATTTTTTACGCTCCTCTTGACGCAAGTGACAGCCGCAGTGAAACCTGTATCTCCCCGAGCCAATTTTCTCACCGAGTCAGTCGTCCTTTCGCGTCTATTCGTTCGTCGAAATTTTTCTCCGTTCGCAGAGTGACTTCGCTTCGCCTCGAAACAGAAGCATTCGTTCGTTACGGAAAAAAGGAGAAAAGTCGATGGACCAGTTCCATTAACGAATAGATACCCCCCGTCCGCGCGGTTCCACTTTTTCTCACCGATTTCGTCGAGGTCCACGGCAAGTTAATGGAAACGGCGGCGAGGACGATGATCGAGTTAGGGAAAGTTGGCGACAACGTGATCCAGTGTTTTCGTTTAATCAGGGACTCGGGCTGGCCGAGGTCCGTGAGACGCCGCACGGTTCGTCGTGGCCGGCGTCGCGACGGTGCGCGGCCGGGGAAAGACAGTTTGACACTCGTTAACAAAAGCAAGCGGCGTGATAAATAGCGGCGCGCGGACAGCGTGGCGCGGAATTGCGAAACTCGCGTGGAATTTAATTTGCAGAGCGCGAACGACGCGGTCCTGCCGCGCGCGGGAACATTGTTTCCATCGAGTTGGAGCGCACTGATTACACAACCGTCCCTTAAGGCTCATTACCGTCACTGAAAATTTCCATACAGCTCGCGGCATGAGCGCGCGAGTGCACGACCGCGCGCGGCCGAGGAGGCGCGTCCGGATCACGATTCGCCTCGAGTCCCTCGCGAGCTATGAATTAGCGTCCCGAGTCGTTTTCTTTTCTTCCGTCATCTAGACGCGGGGCTTTTAAGACGGCGAGAGTGCTTTCTTGACTTACGATCGCCGTTAGTCCTCCCGTTTCCTGTTTCAATTTCGGCACGCGCCCTCCCTTTTCTTTCCTCTTCGACGCGCGCGTCGTTGCGAGGTGTGTCTCTCTCTGCGAGAACGCTTCTTGCTCTTCGCGTTTCGTTCTCACCGTGTCTTTCGAACCGAGCACTCGATACGCGGTAGAGGTCGTTGTCGGAAATTAATTCGCGAGATTAATTCGCGAGGGTAGATTTTTTCTTCTCTCCAAGTTGGACTTATCCGAAGGAGACGACGTAGGAAGCAGGCGAGTCGGAGACTCGAATGGAACGTTCGATGGCTTATTTCGCGTACCTAGGCACGTACGTTCGGAATGTAAGATAGAAGAAGGGAAGAGGAGGAACGATACGTTGCATGCTTTGCAGCAGCGTGCATACGTGCAATCGCGTCGAACGCGCTCGAGTACGTGGCGCCCTCCTCGCGAACCAGGGACCACGATCATCCTCCGTATTGCTCTCCCGTCTGCAACCATCTTCTCGAGGGCATGCTTCTCGGTTCTCTCGGATCTCGAAGAACCGGTATCTACCCACGGACAGTCATGTCGGTCATTAGTCGGACTAATGTAACGCTTCAAATTCTATCGAGCCACGGCGCCGGGCTACGTTGCATCCTCCCACTAGAAAGTCGATGAATCGTTAATATAGGACGGGGAACACGCCCGGTTCCATAGAGATTCCATGGTTTTCAGCTGGGCCATTTTTTTCTCTCCCAACGGAGAATATAGATTACACACGGTGAAGCGTAATTCCACTCCCTCTTTCTCTCTCACTCTCTCTTTTTCTCCTTCGCCTTGGTTTCACCTCGTACTAGCGTCGATTGTCGGTCGGAATAGGTAGGTATGTTTCGAATTAATCGGAGACCGGGAAGAGTGGATGCGACTCGTTAGTTAAAGAGGGTTTCCCGTTGCTTGTTTTCCACGGGTTTCGTGATGGAACGAAGCGATCAGGAATGATAGAATCGTCAAGAGAGTGGAAACACGGACAAGGAGTACAACGAATCGATTATAACTGCCGGCTTGCTTTTTCCCTCGTCATGGGTGATTAAACAATCGTGTTTCGTCGCGTCTGTTTGCGTCCGCGGCCAAGTCTCGAGTGGCTCGTTAATGTTCCACGGTGTGTCTGTTTTATCCCACGAGGCTGCCACTGCTAATATCGTGCTTACGCGAGAAGAAGAAAGTCGTCACGAAATGTATTCGTCTTGTAAAATACCGGCGAGATAAGCCCGTGTAACAGCGTCCACGGAGAAGGGGCGATAAATCAAGAAGAATCTTTATAAAAGATCCAGCGCGTTGTTTATTCTCCGTTATCGATTCCCTCTAACGTTCTTCGGCCCTGTCCGCGACCCCTTTGCCCGACAATTCTTCCTTTTTAATTCTAATTTCGA